AGGCGGGAAAGGCAATAAATCCAAGAAATTGTCCCAACAACAACCAATTCTTATGGAGGAATATTATCTAGCCAGCAGGAGTGGAGTTTGGCTTACTGATTTTACTGTTTTGTGTTCATGAATCTTTATTTTAATGGAGTTAAAAGCATAGGAAAATTTATTTGGAAATGCAGCTTAGTATGAATTCTATTAAAGACATCATTGGGCTCTGCTATAGACTGAATGCTTGTGTTCCTCTCACACCCCAAATTCATATGTTGAACTCTAACCCACCTGTGGGAGGGTATTGGAGGTGGGGTCACTGGGAGGTAATTAGGTTGTGAGGGTAGAGCCTCTAGGATGGAATTAGTGTTCTTATGTGAAAAGGAAGAGTCCAGACCGGGCACAGTGGCTCATGCCTGTAATCCCAGAACTTTGGGAGGCCAAGGCGGGAGGATCACCTGAGGTCAGGAGTTCAAGACCAGCCTGGGCAACATAGTGAAACCCCATCTCTACTAAAAATACAAAAATTAGCCAGGTGTGGAGGCAGGTGCCAGTAATCCCAGCTACTTGGGAGGCTAAGGTATGAGAATTGCTTTAACCCAGGAGGCAGAGGTTGCAGTGAGCCAGGATCATGCCATTGTACTCCAGCCTGGGTGACAGAATGAGACTCTATCTCAGAAAAAAAAAAAAAAAAGAAAAGGAAGAGACCAGAGCTCACACTCTCTCCACCACGTGAGGACCTAGTGAGAAGGTGACTGCAAGCCAGGAAGATTCTCCAGGTGCTCTCAGCATAACTGTCACCCTGACAAGTGGCTGCCCTGAACACTTCCTCCCTCCCTCCACCGCCCCAGGGAAACACAGGTCTCCCCCTGGAGGATGCTTCTGGGGTGCATCCGCCATCTTTAGTTGCACCAATTTCTTCACAGGAAGTGAGAGAATGGGGGGCTGAGCAGCTCCTGACCTTTCTGCCCACAGCTTCAAGCTTGCACTGAGTGATGCTGCTCCAAGGCCTGAGCCTGCGAAATCTGCAGTGGGCATACAGGAGCTATCCTGGGACATCAAGCAAGGCAGCGGGTGAGACTGCCCATGCAAGTCTCATCAGAGAACATTCCAGTGGCCTGGCCCAAAGAACTGACTTTTGGGTCAAATTGACTTGAAGGGAATCCAGAACCTTCGCTTAGTGACTGTGTGACCTTGGGTCACTGGCTTAGACTCTGAGTCTAGTTTCCCTTTCTGTCCACACAGTATTAAAACTGCTCACCTCCCGGGAACTATGGAGAGCACGTAGCCTGAGGACGTGGCTAGTGATTTTGACTTCAGAGTGTGTAAACACAGAACAGCTGTTGTGGTCAATTTGGGCACGTTGGCCAAAACAGAGATGGCAGGAGAAGCTGTGTTTAATATCCCTTTCTTTGATGAGCTGGAGCCAGAGCCCAGGGCCCTATCCCTGGTCCTTGTCCTTCCACATTGCACTTTCATGACGGCTTCCTTCTTCTCTATGTCTTGAGTGCCAAGGGTCAGGGCTCTGCAGGAGGGGCCAGGTCCAACCATGGGACTTCCTGATGGTTTGAGGAGATCTTTGCAGGAACTAAGACCCTCCCTACTCATGTCTTAAATTAGTTTCTCTTACCCCAAAATGAGACTTTAAGCCACCCAGGAAAGAGGATAATAGGGCAGGCAGCACTGGGAGCTCCCCTGCTCCTCCTGCTCCTCCTATGTCCTGGTTGTCTCAGATCCCAACCACCTTCAGAGCACTTTCTGGTGGATGCACATAAGCAAAACATTTCATTGTCCATGAGGCAGGAGGGCAGCACTAGGGCCTCTCTGTGTCCTGCCAGCTGTCCCGTCACTCCTGGGTGGGGAGAGGGATGCTGTCTTCGAGAGTGACACAAACAACAAAGGACAATCCAGTCCTACCACACACAGCCCAGGATTCCTGTTTCTCCAGCACCAATCAGTTTCTTAAAAATTTCTTGAGCTGAAAAACAGCTTGTGGAAGGAATATATGCATGCTCTCTTCAGCCACTTTTATTTATTTATTTATTTTTTGAGACAGGGTCTCTCTCTGTTGTCCAGGCTGGAGTGCCGTGGTGCGATCTTGGCTCGCTGCAACCTCCGTCACTGGGTACAAGTAATTCTTGTGTCTCAACCTCCTGAGTAGCTGGGACTACAGGCACCTGCCACCATGCCTGGCTAATTTTTGTGTTTTTAGTAGAGATGGGGTTTTGCCACGTTGGTCAGGGTGGTCTCGAACTCCTGACCTCAGGTGATCCACCTGCCTTGGCCTCCCAAAGTGCTGATATTACAAGTGTGAGCCACTGCACCTGGCCTTCAGCTACTTTTAATCTTAGCAAAAAGATTTGCTGAGACCAAGGACTGTCCAGAGGTGGTACAACCATTTAATGAACTTATGAAAAAATGAAGTATGCTTTTGTTACATATATATGTATAATATATATAAAATATGTATTATATATGAGTGTGTGTGTGTGTGTATATATATATATATATATTCCACATTTAGTGAAATCTAGTTCATGGCAGTCAGTCCAGAGAGGTCTGGAACTGGTTCAGTGTATTTCTCAACTTCACAGCAACACAATCCTGGTGTGCATTAACCTTTGGTGGCCACAACATTTTTTTGAGAAGAGTGGTCATGTTTTTTATTTTTTATTTTTTGAGAAGAGTGGTCATGTTTTATATTTTTATTTTTTACTTGTACTTTTTTTGATCATAGCTCACTGCAGACTTGAACTCCTGGGCTCAAATGATCCTCCCGCCTCAGCCTCCTGAGTAGCTGGGACTATAGGCACACACTCTAAGTGTTAAAGAAAGAGGAAAGAAACACAAAAAGGGGTTCAACCGTCAAAGACAGGTTTATTTAGAGAATAAACCTGAGAGGAGCTTCTGGTTGATTTTGGTCATGAGTGTTCTAACGGACTAAGGATATTTAAGAGTTTAGGAAGTGGGAAGATCATTGTAGGTTTGGAATGTTTCTATGTGAGGGAAAGTTTACTGTAGGGTTAGAATGTCTCTGGTCAGAGGGGAGCCTATCTTGGGGTTGGCATGTTTCTGGTTGGAAAGGGTTTTATCTTAGGGTTGGAATGTTCCTGGTTATCCTGGGAGTTGGTTTCCCAGCATAGGGAAATGTCCTGATGTCCTGGAGATGATGTTCTGGGGCTGGATTTAGGCAGTTTTTTAATTAACGGGAACATAGAATGTTGATGTTTGTCCAAGACGGCGATGGTCCTGCTCTGTCATGCACCACCACACTTGGCTAATCTTTTTTTATTTTTAATTTTTATTTTTTTGTAGAGACAGGGTCTTACTATGTTGCCTAGGCTGGTCTTGAACTCCTGGGCTCAAGAGATCCTCCTTTGGTCTCCCAAAGTACTGGGATTACAGGTGTGTGCCCCTGTGCCCGGCCCTGTTTTCCTACATATTAGTTAATAAATTTGTTAATTAAGTAAACCACTATTTTTTTTTCCTTTTTGAGAGATGGGGTTTCACTATGTTGCCCAAGCTGATCTCGAACTCCTGGGCTCAAGTAATCCTGCCACAGCCTCCCAAGTAGCTGGGATTACAGGTGCATACTACTGTGCTTGGCTTGTAATCCATCGTCTATCAAGTGGTTATAGAAAGTTAAGCATTGTACTTGATGCTGGGGTCCCAGTGGTACCAAACTTGGACTGTTCCAAAAATACTGGCAGGGAAAGGCACATTAGTAAAATAACCACATGGATCAGTGTTCACTGCAACTGTGAGAATCACATGAAGTGCAGACACGTGGACATCTGAGACTCCTAACGGGATCTGACCTAGTCATGGAGGTCAAGCACACCTTGGAAGGGCCTGGATGTTCCCATTGTCCAGCACACTGGAACAATTGATCCTGGACAGGCAGTGAAATCTGGGGAGGTGAGCCTTAGATCACAAGAAGTGAGAAAGCCTTCTTCTCTTGCTGTGCCTTCTGGTTTTTAGACCTGGACTCTGGGTAGAGCAGCTGGGCCCTCTGATGTGGAGGTAGCCCTGGAGCAAGGCAGGCATGGATGCTTCTGCAATCCCCAAATGGAGCCTGGTATTTCAGCCAGGAATCTAAGCAGAGCCCCCTCTAATTGTAGCAATGATAAATTATTCTCTTTGTTCTTCAACCTTCCAATAGCCCTGAGCTTCCAGGGGAGTCTCGTTAATCATTACAGCCTGGTCTCCACTGTGTTGGTGAATTAAGGGACCAACCAGCTCGCTCACGCATGAAAAAGTACAACCCAGGGGAGGGTGATGTCCTCAGTCCTGAAGGCAGAGTGGTGGTGGCTGCAGTGACCACCATGGAAGCGGCCACTGAGTAGGGTCACTGGTGGTAGAGGCTGGAGTGAGGAAGCACAGAAACATGGGGAGCTGGGCACTTCCGGAGCCACACCCAGGGCATGCTGGAAGTAGTGGAGGGAGATTTAGAGGTAGCTAATTCTCAGCATTCCACCCAGGACCAGCTTGAGCCATGGCAATTTGGGCCTGGAAAGAGTATTACTCCATCTAGTAGTCACAGGTGGGTGAGAACTCAGACCTTTGAGCTAAAAAAAAAAAAAAAAAACAAGCTTTCTAAAAAGAGGGCCAGTTGAGGAAGGGAACGGGGAAGATGCTGGTAGATGCGTAGGTGTTGTGAGTGGATTTAAGCACCACATGAGACAATACCGGGAGGTAATTGAGTTTTTTTTTTTACCTCCCTGAGAGTAAAATTAATAACATGCAATTACGTCAATGTTATGTCTGTGTAGAATGATGAAGACAATTCACTGAACATCTGTTACGTACCAGACATGGGGCTGGGTGCCATGTATGCATTCTCTTAGGTGATCCTCCTGACATTACCTGACATGGAAGAACTGAGTTTCAGAGAATCAACAGCCTTCTCCAAAGTCACCCAGCTGGAAATTGCTGGGACTATCCAGTGGGTGTTCACTCAGTGTTACTTTCCTCCTTTGTGATTCAGAAGTCTACAAAAACATGGTAGAATTCCTTTCTGAAGGGGCAGATGGCTGTTTATTGATCCTTCAATCTTATTTCAATTAGATCATACTTTCACCAGCGAGAGAAGGAAACGAAAGGATCTAGAGAGAGCCTGAGACAGAGCACGAGGGTCAGGCTGCTGGAGGTGTGGGGGAGGCCTGGGACCCCCACATCTCCACTGGGACCCCCACATCTGCTTCTAATACAGGATTTTGTGGCTGCTTCAGGCTGTCACTTTTGGTATTTCATAATCGCAAAAGAGCATCCAGCAACAGCCGCTCCAATTATCGCGAACGCACCGACATCAGCCGCGGCATTTTCCACCTGCAAAGCAAGCAGCTTTTGTTGAGCGTTCGCAGCAAGCCAGGCTGGCACTTTCTCCCTCCCAAGAGCCTGGAACTCCTCCCCGTCTCCCCTCTCTCCTGCCTCCCCTACGGCCTGGCATCTCCTCTTTTCTCTCCCAGCTGACTGGCTCAGAATCCTCTCCCAGAGAAGCCGTTGGCTGTATCCCCAGGGACTCCATTTTCTGGGCTGTGACCACTTCTTGGTGTTGGGTTTATCTGGGCTTGTCCTTAGAATGTGCCCATGAAATCCTTTTGAGAGAGCTTCCAGGTGAGGACATTTGTTCGGATTTGCAGCGAGGAAGAAGGTTTGTGCCTCACTTCCTAGGGCCAGAGCTCCAGGGGCCAGACTGGGGACTGTTTTGCAGTCTGAGTCCTCCTTGAGCTACACCGTTGCACAGGGAGGGCTGTGGCAGAAGCTGAGGGGAGACTTAGGGAGGCCATGGCCATATGCGTGCCCTGGGGTCACTGTGTACTATTCCCAACTGCAGCCTGGAAACTTCCATCTCCAGCTCTACTTCAGCCTAAACTTCAACTCCATGCCTTATCTCCACCTGGGCCTCTAATGGGCACCTCAGACATCACATGCCATGCCAAACTCTCGATTTCCCTCCCCAAAGCCTCTCCTCCTGCCATCATCCCCATCTCATCAAGGACGCGCATCCATTCAGTCCCGCAGGCCAGGGGCCCTGAGCTGCTACACGGTAGGCATCACAGGCAGAGACTCTAGAAAGGACAGCCGGGGTTTCAATCCTGGTTCTGCCACTTATTAGTTGTGTGTTTTGGGGCAACAAATGTGAAAGCCGATGAAGAGACAAGGGATGGAGGCTGCAGATCTTACACACAAATGTCCTTGAGCTCTTACACAGGTCCATGCACCCTGAGCGTCCCTTACCTAAGTGCTCTTTGGGGGGTTGCGGGACCTGTCACAGTCCTGGGTTGGCCCAGATTCTCCTGATGACCCCCAGAACTTCAGGAGTCATTTTCAGGATAGGGTTTAGAGGGGAAGGATCCTCAGAGGTCCTCCATCCACCCACTCTGCACATGGAGAGGCCTGGAGGGGAAGGGACCTGTCCAAAGACCCTCTGTGGATTAGAAGCAGATCTGGCATTGGAGCTCAGAGGTCCTGACTCTCAGTCAGTGGGTCTCCAAGAGGCTGCGTTTGCATCATTCACGGTGATCGCCTGGTTGCATAGCCCAGTGAGTCCAGCCCCAAGCAGACCTTCCCAGGGGAGATGGATTATCCAGAGAGGTCCTTACCTGTTGACAGTGGGACCTGCCATATCTCAGCTTGGTGACAAAGTGCTCACAGTTCCTGCTCACAATACTGTACTTCATCTTCTGACCAACCAACTCCTTGGCAGAACTGATGATCACCCCCACGGGCAGTGGTTCGAACCTACGGTCCAAGCTGTTGTTGACCCGATAGTTACAGCCTTCCAGCACATCTTTCAGGAGCTCCTGTTTCACCACTGCAATGCCGCCCACGACTGAGAAGGCACTGGAGGAGCTAGCCGCGGGGTACCCATCTGCAATCAGAGGCATTCTCACTGGCAGGGGAAGGTGAAGTAGGGAGAGAAGGGCTTGAAATCTCCACTAGGGAACTACTGCTGTTTATCCTTTCACAAATGTGACTGGAGGATTCACAGATTTGGCTTTTTTTTTTTGGACGGAGTCTCGCTCTGTCGCCCAGGCTGGAGTGCAGTGGCGCGGTCTCAGCTCACTGCAAGCTCCGCCTCCCGGGTTCACGCCATTCTCCTGCCTCAGCCTCCCGAGTAGTGGGACTACAGGCGCCGGCCACCACGCCCAGCTAATAGATTTTGCTCTCTCTTTTTTAATCAAATAAGGTGTGAATGTTTGTTCAAGTCAGTGAATGTCATGATTGCCAGTGGCTGCTACCATATTCCATGCTATGCATGTGCATCACTTCTGTGGCCAATCCCCTGTTATCAGTCATTTAGGTATTGGAAAAATTTTCATCATTATAAGCAATGATGGTAAAGCATATTTATTACGTGTTCAGCTTTGTACACTCGTGTTTTGGAAAAAGATCCACTTCGTTTAGTACCCACTGTTTCAGTTACCATGCTGTGCTGTTACACATACTTCCTAATTTAATTTCCTTTTTAACTTTCAAGGAAAATACTATCATCTCAATTTAAAAACCAGTATCGGGCTGAGAGAGATATCATGAGACTTTTCCGTGCTATGAGAAGTCCTAGAATCAGGATGTGAAACTGCTTCTCTTAAGCCCCAAAGTGCAGGTTCCTTCCACTGCACTGAGCTGGTGTTGAGGGAATCCTTTGTAAAGTGTCTTCTGTCCTACAATCTCGCACAGTTCTAGGCACATAGAGAGGTACACAGAAGAGCTGTCAACCAATGGAACCCCAATTGCATTATATAGTGACTCCAGGTGTTATTTTTATTAAAATGGATAGTACCTAATGCGCACAATAATTAGGTGTGTTACCTCTCTTGCCCTGTTTCTAATCTCAAGGCTGATGTTTGCACTTAGAACCCACTTAAGAAAATCCTGTTGGCTGGGCACAGTGGTTCATGCCTGTAATCCCAGCACTTTGGGAGGCCTACACGGGTGGACCACTTGAGCTCAGGAGTTCGAGACCAGACTGGACAACATGGTGAGACCTGTTGTGTTTTCCCTACAAAAAACACAAAAATTAGCTGCGCATGGTGGCGCATGCCTGTCGTCTCAGCTATTCAGAAGGCTGATGTGGGAGGATCACCTGGCCTGAGCGCGGGGAGGTCAAGGCTGCAGTGAGCCATAATCACATCACTGCACACCAGCCTGGGAGACAGAGTAAGACCCTGTCTCAGAGGAAAAAAAAAGAGAGAAAGAAAGAAAGAAAAATTGTCTTAAAAAAGCCTGTTTATGGCTGAGTGTATTAGCTCATGCTTGTAATCCCAGCACTGTGGAAGGCCGAGGCAGGCGGATCACGAGGTCAGGAGATCGAGACTATCTTGGCCAACGTGGTGAAACCCATCTCTACTAAAATACAAAAAATTAACTGGGTGTGGTGGCGTGTGCCTGTAGTCCCAGCTGTTCGGGAGGCTGAGGCAGGGGAATCGCTTGAACCTGGGAGGTGGAGGCTGCAGTGAGCTGAGATTGTGCCACTGCACTCCATCCTGGTGACAGAGCAAGACTGTGCCTCAAAAAAAAAAAAAAAAAAAGACTCTTTACATCCTGCAGGTTAGGCACAAAAAGGACCATGTGTCTTCATTGCCATGCTTTGTCTTACAAGGTCCCTGAAGGTCATCTGGATTAAGTGGGCTTGATTTACTATTTTCCTCAATTCAGACATTTTTACAACCCTGCCTGGGAGATGATGGGTTGGAGAAAACTGATAAGATGCAAATGTCTTGCTCTGATAGTGATGGGAATGGTTTTTGTCCAGTGACAGTGTAAATGCTTAGTGAAAAGAGAACATCAAGAGTTATGTAGTGGCATTGCCTTAGAGAATATGAACTTGCCTGCACCTACCTAATTTGGCAGTCTCATTGTCTCATTTCTGCATTTTTGTTGTTATTGTTTTTTGAGACAATGTCTTGCTCTGTCACCTAGGCTAGAGTGCAGTGGCACCATCTCAGGATCTCGGCTCACTGCAACCTCCATCTCCTGGGTTCAAGCAATTCTCCTGCCTCAGCCTCCTGAGTAGCTGGGATTACAGATGCCCGCCACCACCCCCAGCTAATTTTTGTATTTTTAGTAGAGATGGGATTTCACCATGTTGGCCAGGCTGGTCTTGAACTCCTGACCTCAAGTGATCTGCCCACCTTGGCCTCCCAAAGTGCTGGGATTATAGGAGTGAGCCACTGTGCCTGTCCTCTGCATTCGTTTTTTTCCCCTTTCGTTGACTATCCATACATATGTTTCCTTCATTCTGCTTTTAACTGGCTATGTCATCTTGCTGCTTCTGTTATTAATGAGTTAAATAAATCACTGGTATTGCTTGCTGTGCATTTGTATGAGAATTTTAAAAAAATGTATAAACCTGTGAGAATTGCGCCCATTAAGGAGCAATTAAGTACGTAATATCAAGACACCTGGTTCTGTGAAAACATACGAGGCAAAGGATCTAGCACGGAGAAACATTGTTCCTTTTGAGAAACTTTCTTCTTTAAGACCTAAGAAACCTGGCTGGTTTAAGTCGTATGAGATTCTGCATGCTAAGTTAACTGACTTTGAGCTAGAGAGATCCCAATGCTGAAGCAGCCCAGCTTTGCTGCGGGAGG